AGAAGCGGAACAAAACATGTAACGGAATGGAAACCTAAGGCTTGGTTTACATACCTGCAGTAATTAATATATTTAATTTATATAAGTATTTTTTATAATCTACTGGAACCACTTTCAATAATTACATATTTAATTGTTCACTTGTTAAGCGAGGTTTATATTTTTCACGAATACAACTTTTGGAATAGACTCGTGCCATTGAAGTATAACGTTGACCAATAAAAATAATAACCGGCTAAGTGCGAGTCGGACTCGCGCGTGAGGTGTTTCTGGTAGGGGAGTCCCTTTTAATTTTTAATTTATTTTTATTGTTATAGCGGCAACAGAAATACACATTCTGTGAAAACTTCAACTGTCTACCTATTACGGATCATGAGATACAGCCCACTGACAGACAGACAGACGGACGGATAGCGGGGGCTTAGTAATAGGCCCCGTTGGTTACCCTTTGGGTACGCAACAACAAAAACTATGTTTATACATTAAAATCGATCTCAGATATTAATTTTTGCTATCATTTTATTTCTTAACCACGTGATCATTACCGGTTTCAGTCAGCATAGACTCGATTCCGGCGAGCTATAACGTAATCAAACATTCAAGAATTATGGCATTGATTCTAATTTTGTAAACTTTTACACGGTCTTGAACACTTTGAGCTATATTAAAATAATTATAAAAAACCCACTTAATTTATAAATTAAATTTAGAAACATTTAAAAATAATCACGCAAATAAAGATCATTATCATCTCAAAAATCATTAATAATTATTTAATTATTATTAATCATTAATCATTATTTTTTTATCATTATCTTATTAAATATTTAAATTACAACAAAGCGCTGATGCCCTTATATTAATTCTAATATTCATTAGTAACACGTGCTTTTTTATAGATGGCTCTAACCCCGGCGGAAAAATGAAAAGATACAGGGAGAATTTGAAAAAAATCCAGAAAAATATGAAGAGTATAAAAAGAAAGATTTGCAAAGAATTAAGATAAAGACAAAGAAAATTTTGGAGTTACCCGAACAAGACAAAAAGCAAAGACGAAAATTGTGGCGAGCAAACATCCACATCTAATTAACCACCTACTAAACGCTGTAAAAATGAAACGAACAGAGAAACTCTCAATAACAAATTAATAGTTCGTAAATATAATGCAGCTATAAAACGTATTCAAAAATGACAGACTGCATTAGAAACCTCTAGAAAGCGATACTGCCGTTTGAAAAAGCACAGTTCTAAAATAATAGAAGAGTTAGGGAGCACAGTTTTCAAAATGAAAGCGCGAGAAGAAATTTTGGAGACTTCTTTGCGTAAGACATTTAACAACTATAAAACATTTAAAGACAAACGTATTTTAAAGAATTTGGCTTCAAACAAAGAAGTTAAGAAGAATAAGTCAGTAACCTACGTGTCTAAGTTATTGAGACTTCACGGTCCAGTCAGATCGAGAAAGCAATATGAGAAAAAAAAGACTATTCAAGAAGAAATAAAACGTTTTTACATACGTGATGATATTATCCGCTGTAGTGCCGGTAAGCGAGAATGTAAAACCGTTAATAAAAATAAACAACAAATTCGTTATTTGACGGATACACTAGCAAATCTTAAAATATACAAAAAAAAAAGGCGGTAAATACAATTTCACAAGCTTCTTTAACTATAAACCTTTTTACGTCTTATCATCTAACATTCAAAACAGGGAGACTTGCATGTGCATCAAGCACAGCAATATGGAGATGTTGCTTTCAGCTTTGAAAAAAAATGGACTGGTGCCTCATCTTCGAAACATGACAGACGTGCTAACAAAGTTAACATGTGACATAAATTCATACAATTGTATGTATTCAATTTGTGATAAATGTAAGTACTGTAAGGTTTATTACAAAATAGATTATGAAATCGGAGCTAAAAAAAACAGAATGGTTACAATGGGAGAAAGTTGATCATTGTTATGATAAGATTGAAAAAGATGAAGTAAAAGAGATGATTACAAAAAAACAGTGAAACAAAAGAAAGAAGGTTATGTTAGTTTGTTACTACAGAAATTTGAGAGCAATTTATTATCATACAAAATTCATTATTTCAATTGGAAACACCAACAGCGAAAATATCAAGAGAGTGTAAGTAACTTGAAAAGCAATGAAGTTCTGATACTAGTTGATTTTTCCGAGAACTATGTTTGCAAAATGAGGGAGGAGGTTCAATACATGTATTTTGGTGCTTTAAAGCAACAGATAACTTTGCATTGCGGTATGATATATTGGAAAAATAAGTCCAAATCATTCAGTACTATTTCAGACAGCAAATGCCATAAACCTTCAGGGATTTGGGCACACCTTATGCCTATATTAGAGTTGATAAAAGAAACATCTCCAGAAATTAACACATTACATTTCTTCTCCGATCGCCCAACCTCTCAGTACCGCCAAAAAAATAATTTCGTTTTGTTAAACTTTATTACACGCAAATTCGGATTTTCTTTAACTACGTGGTCCTTTTCCGAGAGTGGCCATGGTAAAGGAGTAGCAATCAAAAGAGCACTGGATAGGCAAGTTGCATACGGACATGACGTGACCAATGCTTTGGAGGCGTTTGAGATTTTGCAAAATTGTGTGAAATCGGTAAAATGTTTCTACATAGAAGTAACAAAGATCGATGAAATAAGCAGGTTGATACCAAAAGATTTGCGACCCATCGTTGGCACAATGCGTATTCATCAAGTAATAAGCTACGCTCATTCAGCGCAAATTCAGTATACAGAACTCAGTTGCTTCTGCGAAATGATTGAAGAACAAGTGCTATTGTTTTGTGCCAAAAAATATATAATTTTCTCATTATTATTGAAGAGAGTAACAGTTCACCATCTTGTTTAGCATGTCAAAGTGAAAATGTACTGGAATCGAAAAAGGACTCTGAGAATTCAAAAGAACACAAAAATGAAACCATAGTATTCGCTAAAACAAATATAACTTTAACCGGAGGTGACGTTTTAACGGGTTTTAATGTCAACTCAAACAACACAATAGAAACAACAATAGATGTCGTATTACTTGTAAAAGTGATAAGGAAAATCTTTCCGACACAAAAACCGTAAAGCAATCTACGATTAAATCGATAAGAACAGTAATAACTCGAACTTTACAATGTTTTTTGTGTAAGAAAAACTTTCCGTTTGTTTCAAATTGCATAGTACAATGCATGGTTTGTAAAAATAGATACTGCACTACTTGCACTGAAGGGCAAAATAGTTTTGATTACATTTACAATAAATGCTTTGGTGATTAAAACCTCGTATTACTTGTAACAAGTCAGTCTACCTCCACGATTTCAGTGAAATAATTTTATGATATGATTATTTAAAACAAAAACTTTATATTGCTGTTATTTTTATAAAACTTAAACTTTTAATTAATAACTTGGACACGATAACGATCTTAGTGCACATATAAGAGACCACAATGTAGCCATATACATGTTTTTTTTAACTAAACTAAACTACTTTACTTCGTCGTATTTTTTGATACAAAAAAACCGATATTTTAGGCGACCATAACTTTTGCAATTTTACGATTTTAGAAGAAAAATTAAAAATAGAAGCATAGTTTCTTATTATTTTAATAACGCACTATAAAATCATCTTAATCGGATAATTTTTAGGGGCACTAAAACGTTTTCTTATTTTGTACGGACATGAGCGTAGTAGACTTCCCTCGTAGACTTGTTACAAACTATGTGTAATTAAAGATTCCCCTATCTTTGCGGGTGGAATTGTAGGAAGTGTAAACGTAAAAAAAATGGGTACATTTTTCTTCCTTTATGTAAACTATTCTTTACAGTTCCATTCCGAAACTTTACTATTCCTTTCGGTGACTGTCCTATTTTTGTTGATTACTTAATTTTATTTGTATTAGTTATTAACGTGGAGAGACACTTTTTTTGTTAATCTTAAGAAGACTATTATTTGTTGTTTATTTTAAAATAATAATAATTGTATTTTTTCGAAAGGCTTCGTAATTTTGTCGATAAAAATAGTGTGACAGCTGATCAAATAGTAACGTAATGGAAATAAAGACTGAATTAATTAAAGTTTGTTATTTTTGTTTATTATAATTTTGTACTATTTTATACAAATACATTTCTTAAGACACATTAAAAACTGCTAACAAGTTCAAAGTGTGTTTAATTTGGTAAAACCACCATTCTTATTTGGTAACGGAATGGAGCGTTATTCATTATCTGGGCGGATAAATACTAATAAAATATTACTAAAAAGTAAATTATGAACCCAAAAATCTCCATATCATTATTAAAATATGTAATGGAAAATTTGCAAAAATTATACCGGATTCCAGTAAATTCAAAATACTGTTATTTTTTATCACTGTCACATTTTTGTGAAACCACCCTAAAACAAATATTGTATAAAAGGGTATTAATATTAACAATCAATATTATTTATATCTACGAGTATACTGTTTCTATTATCGCATTTACATGATGCTGTAGAATGTAGACTGTGCTTACAATTTTACCTCATTTATCGTCAAATACTATTTGATGACTATATTTAGGTAAGGTAAATTTTATTCTTCTAGTTTTAGCAGCTCTCCTTCGAAATGATTAACATGTGCTCTCTGTTCGTGTTCGTGTGTTCAGTTCAGTGTGTGTTCGTGCGCAAATTAAGCGTTCTGAGTGAACTCCACAATAAATAGAGGCGTGACTTCATAACATCGACAAGTCTCCTATTTTGTAATCACTGGAAGGTTTGTCGAAAATCCCCAGCAAACACAAACGTCACTCCATCCTTTACGGCGCTTAAATAGTGATAATTTTACAATGCACTCTAAATAACTACATAACTACATAAAGCACGGCAGCAGCACGCCCAGCGGTTCGCGCGCCACCGCCGCGTCCAGCGACCGCTGCCGCTGTCCTGCACACCACAGGCACCACACGCACCATCTCACACTCACCACTAGCACGCACAACTACACAACTACATACAGTGCGACAGCAGCATGTCCAGCAGTGCGTGCGCCGCCGCCGCGTCCAGCGACCGCTACCGCTGTCCTGCACACCACAAGCACCATCTCACACTCACCACCAGTACCCACAACTACACAACTACAAACAGCGCGGCAGCAGCACGCCCAGCAGTGTGCGCGCGCGCCGCCGCGTCCAGCGACCGCTACCGCTGTCTTGCACACCACACGCACCATCTCACACTCACCACCAGTACCCACAACTACATGACTACACGTTTGGAGATCTTTAAGAGTACGTTCCACAGCTTCCTCATGAGCCCTACAGCACATATGGCAACCATCCCAATATTGAGTACTATCTCTTACAAAACCTTTCGCAGTGTCCATTTTTCAAATTGAGCATACAGACTACTTTATTACACTCACAGTCAATGGTAATTTAAATGTTGAATAGAAAATAAAATAGTAGTGATTCCGGAACAAGTAACTGCTAGAGTGTTTCTACCAGATTGATAGATATTGTGTCTGTTTGAAATTGAATTGAAAATGTGTAAATTTTGTATTGTACATATATACAAAATTTATACATCTTCAATGTTAAAAAAATTGGCATTTTAAGAAATTTGTTAGTATTTTCCCATTTGGCTTATTATTTAATACTGTTACGAGCTCGAGCAACCGCAGAAAGTTCGAGTTTGGGGTTTCCAGAAAGCTTAGTTCTTCAATTCGATACTAGATGGCGCTGTCGGTTGAAAGATTAGTGATGTCATTTTCTGGAAAGCTCTCTCTTCCCTCTGTTACCTGACACTAGATGGCGCTAGTGCCAGATGTCAACTTAGCCGCGCAACACTACCCACTCTTAAGACATGCTCGTCCCGAGCATTATCGGCCCCATAATAACGCGCCAAGCGATCCACATGGACGATCTTAGGAGTCCCTCTTGCGCCTTTCTGTATCCGGTAGGTTACATCGTTGATTCTGGTTACAATCCGGTACGGGCCGTCCCATTTAGCTTGAAGCTTAGGAGATTTCCCTTTACTGCGACTGGATTGTGCAACCACACTAGTGAACCTTCGTCGAAGCCTTTATTGTTCATTTTGCGGTCGTACCGGGTTTTTATCTTCTCAGACATTTGCTGGCCCGATTGTCTGACGTGCTCATAAATGTCATTCATTTTGTTCCGCAAGTCATTTGCATAATCGGTTATACTGCGTGGGGTATCAGGTGGTATCCCGGTGATCAGGTCTGCAGGCAGCCATAATTCTCTTCCAAAGTTTGCGAAAGCTGGTATCACTGCTGTACTTTCGTGAACAGCGCTTCGATACGACAACAAAAATGGTTGTATGTGCTTGTCCCAATCTCGTTGCCGATTGTCTACAACTTTTGCTAGGTACCTCTCCAATGTCTGATTAAATCGTTCTACCATTCCATCAGATTGCGGGTGATAAAAAGTCGTTCTTGTTTTGTGAGTACCCATAACTCGGCAACTTTCCTGGAATATTTGAGACTCAAAATTCCTTCCTTGATCGCTGTTAATCTCTAAAGGTAGTCCAAAACGACAGAAGACTTCATGAACTAGCTTATCCGCAAATGTTGAAGCTTCTTGATTTGGAATGGCGAAGACTTCTGGCCACTTAGTGAAGTAATCCATCACAACTGTGAAATACTTGTTACCACTTTCACTCTCCGGAAACGGTCCCGCCACGTCAAAGGCTATTCTCTCCCATGGTGCACCAATATTGTACAACTTCAATGCACCTCTACTACGAGTCTGAGGTCCCTTTACAGCCGCACAACTTGTACATTTGCGACACCAGTCCTCGACATCGTTTCGACAGTGGACCCAGTAAAACTGTTCTCGGATCTTCAGTAGAGTTCGTTTAACTCCCAGATGGCCTCCTGAACAATCATTATGTTACAGCTGTAGAACATCCGGTACTAGCTTTAGGGCTTTAGCTTTAGGGACAACCATTTGCAAAGGACCGCTGTCTCCCCGAACATTTTCCCATTTACGACACAGAACTCCATCCTGAAGCAGCAAGCTGTCCCACTGGGCCCAATAGCTTTTAGTGGTCGAACTCATCGCTGAGACGTCACTCCACTTGGGCTTGGGAGCACTGGCCTTTATCCATTCCAGAATCGGCTTGATGTCAGGATCTTCCTGCTGTGCATGTAGTAAGCTGTCCTTCCACTCGTTGCTGAGGTGGTCTGCCCTGAGCATCCTCACGGATACCACTTCCTTACTCTCTTGCCTAGTACAATGTTTGCAATCTTCAGGACAAGGTCTTCTTGACAATGCATCTGCGTTGCCATGAGATTTCCCGCTGCGATGTTCGATCTCAAAGTCATCAGTTTCAAGTGTCAGTCAGTTTGTAAGTGAAATTTTCGTCCCAGAAGATATTTGCTAAAATGTTGCAACGACTTTACCACAGCTAGCAATTCGCATCTTATGACACAATAGTTCCTTTCCGGTTTTGACAACGACTTGCTGAAGTACGCTATTGCGACCACTTGGTCACCATTCCGTTGAGACAACACACCGCCAAGTCCTATATCACTTGCGTCTGTGTCAACCATAAATTCTTTGCTTGCATCAGGGTATCTCAAAATAGGTGTTTTGCACAGACGGTCCTTGAGCTCCTGGAATGCGATATTGCAACTTTCATCCCAGCGGAAAAGTCGCTTCTCCTCGGTTACCTTATGCAGAGGTTTGGCTATATCTGCAAAGTTCTACACAAACCGCCGGTAATAGGAGCACAAACCCAAAAATGCTCTAACCTGCGTCTTGTCTTTTGGAACCGGCCAATCCTTGACAGCGGCGATTTTCTCTACGAATACCTTCTTCCGATACTACATACCCCAAAAAGTTTGCCGTTTGAATAGTGAACATTTCTTCAGACTCAACTTGAGGTTGGCACTCTGAATCTTCATGAGCACGCGTTCCAGGTTTCGACCTACGATGATGATGTCATCCAAGTAGACAAGACAGGCATCGTCAATTATCCCGGTAAGTACAAGTTCCGTCAGCCTTTCAAACGTTGCTGGAGCATTGCACAACCCAAACGGCATTACTTTAAATTGCCACAGACCCTTTCCCGTCGAGAACGCAGTTTTCTCCTTGTCCTTAGGGTCAATTTCAACTTGCCAGTAGCCACTTTTTAGATCCAGTGTGCTAAACTACTTTATTCCTGTAAGCATGTCCAGCTTGTCATCAATTCTTGGCAAGGGATAGCTGTCCTTCTTCGTAACGTCTTTCAGACGGCGGTAGTCAACACAAAACTGCATGCTGCCATCCTTCTTCTTTACCAGCACCACTGGTGAACACCATGGACTAGAGGAAGGTTCAATAACACCATCCTTTACCATTTCTTCAATCATGGTTTCCACTTCCTCTTCACGTGCTACCGGCAATCTTCTTGGTCGCTGACGGATAGGCAATTCTTCTCCTGTGTTTATTTTGTGTTGAACTAAGCTTTCCTATGTCATCATCGTTTGATGAGAATACATCGGCATACTTGAGTAACAACTTCTTCGCCTTGACCATTTCGGTCGGGAAGAGACCGCTGCGACAGTCTTCCAAAAGTCACTCTCGTTTGTGCATCCTTGCTGTGGGTCTCACTCGATAGATATTGGTACCGACGTAACCAATCCACTTCCTCAGAAGTACCAACCAGCGTGCCTTTTTCTATAATCTGTTCCCGGTCACAAAGGTTCAGCACACGTACTCCTGAGATGTCAGAGGTTCTGACCAAGGTTCGAGCCACTTTCCATGGATGGTCATTGTTTACCCTTTCCACAAGTACACAACGGTGAGCTTGCCCAGCGTTTCGAGGAAGACTAACAGGAACAATCGTTTCCGATCTCGGCGGAAGAACAATCTTCTTAATGCTGTACACGTTCCCTGGTAACGCACCTTCCATAAAAAGTTCCTCCTGTCCACATTTCAAAACACCTTGCTTAACGTCGATCTCACAACAATTATTCCTCATAAAGTCTAGGCCGTTTGCAGTCGTCCATTATATCAGCCACGATGACATTATACAGGTAGATCACATTGCCTAGCTTTAACTCCATCTCCTTCTCTCCACGGACGGGTATACGCTGACCGGTGGCTGTTTCAAAATTAATGCGTTCTCGGTTGTATGCGGAGTCCCCAAGGAACTGACTTATAAGTTGGGAACTAACAACCGTACGAGAGGCTCCAGTGTCTATGGTCAGTTTACACCGCATTCCGTTGACCTCGCCCTTGATGATTAGACTGTTCCCACCATGGGTTTGTTAGATCGAGATCCTTGGGGCTCTTTTAAAATCAGCCAGCACCCGCCCCGCAGTTCTGGCTTTTACTCGTTTCCCTGCTGCTGAAACACATAAAACATAAAAATATACATATTTCCAAACATTTTCATATAAATTTCTCTAAAAACAAAAGTGTAGAATTCAAATTAGTAGTAATTTTGTTACTAAAATTGAAGTATATACCACTACTATGCTATACAGGGTAATTTACGTATTTTATTACAATTTCTAGCAACCAAAAATAATTTTATTCGATAGTTTATACATTCAACAAGAATTCCTGTAAGTTTTATCCATAAATATTGTCTCAAAGTGAAAATATAGCAAAATTTGCAATATAGCAAAAAATTTGCTAATTTGCTAATTTTCCCGCCATTACGGTCCCGAGCGAACGGGAGTATAACATGTCGCGCGCTCGCTTGGCGAACAGGAACAGAACGCATTGATCAAAAGTGTTAATGAGTCTTGTGAGAATACTAGGTTATAGTCATGAAAGATAATATACGTTTCAAAAACTTTCATCGCATCAGGACAAAAAAGCATTATATATGAAAAACGTAGTATAATAGCGCTAAAGTCAAAATATTTAAGTTTTACTGTAACGTTTTAAAGCGATGTAAGTTTTAAAGTAGGTATTCCCAAGTCGCGCTTAATTTACGCGAACGTCTCCATGTTCATTTTTGCACAATGACTTCGTGGTGTTATTCCTTTTTAGTAAGGAAGAAAGGGATATCTGTATTTTCTTGTATGCGTATTACACATAATACATACATAAACATGTTTAAAGAAAAACATAGGAACAATACTCAAACACATATCAGATATAGATACTTACATTCATTACAGTAGCCTAGGACACCGTCCGGGTAGATATCATGCTTGTATCTATTCTTGCCGCCAAATAGCTGTGTATACGTGGTAGAGCCATGCTACAGCTTTATTATGTTTGTAATACGAATGGGTTGGCTCGACGGGGAAGGGTCGTAAAATAGCAGCTGAACGCTGTTTTGTTTATATGGTGAGTGTAGAGAAACGAAGACGCTTTTTATTGGAAACGAGGCATTCCAACTTAGTTCTCAGGGCGTAACAAC